CAGCGTACTGGAGCGAGAGTGACAAACAGCATACATTAACAAATATATATAGCTACATAGCACAATAGATAATTAACTAACACCAATAAGGGGTGATAATACCAACATGCCCAAGAAATAACACGTAGAAAGTCATTATCTCCTATACTCCGTACCGGAGATAATTTGCATTCTACGCTAAATAACAATGCAAGAAAACCATATAATCTTGGAGGATAAGGCCTGCTCCAAGTACCAGGCAAAAGCCAGAGAGTAACCAAAGCTAGTCTAAGCAGTTAAGAAACAACAACAATAACAAATTGCCACTTAACTTAAAACACGGGCCAATCTGTCGACCACGAACGCCTAGATCACGGCCAAAACGACTTCCTGTATTAGAATGCGCATCCAAAGTCGGTAAGGAAGAACGGTGGTTAGGGTTGAACGGTGGATAAGGCTGAAATCTCTGATGCTGATACTTCTGAGAGCGCTTCTTCTTCGAATCTTTAACTTTCTTCTCTGCTCTCCTCTCCGAGCGAAATAACCTCTTCTCGTCCTCCGAGTCAGATGCCAATTCGTCCGAAAGGTACTCTTGAACAGTGGCCCAGCTATACTGACTTTTATCGGCGATCTTAATTACCTTCATTCTTTTAGTAACTAAAGCAATACCTTCTTCAATGGCGGTTTTGGCTTTGGAAATGGCATTGGCGTTAAGCGCACCCTTCGCACTCTCGAGCTTGTCCAAAACAGATTCGGCATGTTCAAACTGCTGCTCGTTTCCTTTGCTCTGGAAAACAAAACGAGCGCGCTTCGCACGTTTAACGGCTGCCTCAACTGATGAAGAATTTTCCTCCGTGAACTGCTTCTTAAAGTTGTCGAAGCGGGAGTCGATTAAAGACGATATCTGCATGGTAACGGAAGCCATCGAATCAGCTACAGCCTGCTGCACTAAAGAATGAAAACCATCAGAACCAGCGTTAGAAGAACCTTCTTCTCGCAAATCGGGAGCATCTGGTCCCGGAAGGGGCATCTTGCGTCTTCTTGTGCCTAACAAAAAATTATCTGCCTGGTACAGCGTACTGGAGCGAGAGTGACAAACAGCATACATTAACAAATATATATAGCTACATAGCACAATAGATAATTAACTAACACCAATAAGGGGTGATAATACCAACATGCCCAAGAAATAACACGTAGAAAGTCATTATCTCCTATACTCCGTACCGGAGATAATTTGCATTCCTGTATATTGCCTGGCAAGGTAAATTGGCAAGGTTATCCCTCTCCGAGGTGTTAACGCTATCACTACAGCATACGGCAGATAACAAACAACCAATGTTCCCTGCACCCACATTGCACTGTACACTGCCTTTCTGTATCGAGCTATGTTCAGTAGAATTGCTTGGCTTGGTCGTCTTCTAAAAGCATGGCTCTGAACATGGTCAACATGAATTTGATTGTGACGCAGAGTGAAGAAAATTTTTGTGTAAGAAAAGATTGTGATGAATAGGCATAGAGCTATACCTATGTACTGAGAAGATGAAGTTATAATAGGATTCCAAAAGAAACTAGACGCACCAACAATAGACAAAACCCAAAAACCAATGACAGTAATATGTGTCCGTTTCAAAGTTACAACTTGTCTGTATCTGAGCCCCAGCAACAAGGCGAGAAGTCTGTCCACGCTTATTGCAGTCGATGTTAATAAAGAGACGGTACACAAAGTATAACCTGCCAAACTGTCTGCATAATCTGTGTAATAGCAAATATCCCATCTTTCGTTCACCACGGACGTCCAATAAAATACAACCAAAGGCTCCACAAAAATACCAACACAGAGATCGGTTATCGCTAAGTTACGATACAAGAGTTTGGACGGCGGATGAAGTGAAGTTTCCTTGCGTAGAGCAACTAAAATCAAAGTGTTGCCCAGGAATGCAGTAATGGAAAGAAACGTATTTACTACTAAGACACAGGTAAGCTCACCATGTACATCGCTAGTCAATTCCGCAGAGCAGTACCGTTGGTTTACACCCTTAGTAAAATTTGTCAGCGCCATTTGTCTGCAATGAAAATAGTGAGCGCTTTATTGATATAATTCTTCTTATACAGCTGCTTTTTGTTGGCCGAAAACCAATTTTATAAGTGCTCCTAGGCAAAGTTTGTGGTAGTTCCATTTGTTAAATCTTCTTTTAAATTTCTCTCTTATTACCTGCGAAACAAGGCATTAAATCTTTTCTTGTGAAACGAGGAATAGCATGTGTACAGCCGCCCCCTCCCCTCAGAAAAAAAAAATCGAAGGCGGGAGGGAAGGGCGGCGGCCGGCTGTACACAGGTTAAGTGAGGAAATTAACTTAACCTCCTCTCCCCCTGGGGTGACCAGGTTTACCTCGTTCCAAGGGTCCTCTCCTACTCGGCCCCTAACTAGGATCAGAGTGTTCTCCAGTAATGCTGCAATGGATAAAAAAATATTTAGAGTGGAAAGGAATCTACACCTCTGATTAATTCCGCCGAGCAGAACAGTTCTCGGACTGTTTTCTGGAGTTCAGCTTCGAAAAAATTTTTCAAGGGCATATGCCTCTACGAAGCAAGGACGTGCAAGTGAGCACTTTTTAAATATTATTATTTAGCACTCTTTTAATTTGGGTGGGAGATGTAATCATGGTCAATTTTAACAAAAAGTAAAGAAATTTAGAAAAATAAAATGACGTTGAGAATGTCTGAATCGCGAAATTTAATGCTCCTTTTCCATATTTTCCTTTTAGCCTCTAAAGAAGGTCGTCTTTCAAAACGGAAGTTCAAGTTGTTATTGAACTGATCTAGGTCTACAACTGAGAGATCCGCCGGCACCACTCAACAATTTGCCGCTGTGAACTTGTTGATATTTTATAGTTTTCTATATTCCCCTACTGAAATCGCGAAAATAAAACCCCGCCAAGAAGCGCGAATTAAGTACCTGCGAATTTAAGTACATCAATACGGTAATCCCTCATACAAACCTTTAAACACAAAAATAGGGAGCCATGAGCTTTTCTTCTACATTTAGAGATCAGCTCTACATAGTACAATGCCTACACGCGGTTCAAAAACGCAGTCGGATTGTTTTTAATTGGCTAAGAGTTTAGAGTCCAGAATCCAGAATTCAAAGTCCAGTCCACAATCAATATTTTTAAGAAGCGGAAACGGAAGTCGAACAATGGAAAATACTAACAAATCGGCGTCGCATATTGCTGCTTGGATTTCATATTTATTTATCTTTTTGGCGTGTTCGTAAGCTTGCGACTTCGATCTGTAGAGTTGCCCTTCTGTACGTCAGCTATAACAATTATTGCATGGCTTTATAGTTATTGTCGATCCGATGGGGGATTCAAAGTTCGTTATCGTGACCACTCTTTGTTACGTGGGGATTTTCGGTGTGGTTTTTATTGTGTGTTGTTGCGCTTGGACGCGCCACTTGAGGAAATCCAGTAGAGGGCTTTCGTCGCAGCAGAGAAACACCCAAACAAATCGACGCTATTTATACAGACCCACTCCGCAACCTCCAGAATACAACGCACCTTCAACACCGATGCCATATGGTCCATCATGGCCAAGAAGAGGCGAAATTCAAAATGTGAACGCGAACTTCTTTCCTGCCGCATCACAAAGGGCTGTAGCCGGACCGATGTTTCCAGGCTATCCATCAGCGAATTTATATTCTTTTGGCGTAACTTCGGCAACACATGTTGTAGAAATCGCGACTTTCGGCCGAGACAATAGACACGGAGAACAGTTTGCTGGCAATGATCTTAGCCATGCTTCAAACTTTGATCAAGGCGATAGCACTTTTGTAGATACGGAAGACCGAACAAGGGTGCTGACAAGGTCACAATCTTCTTTAGAGAGCGAGAAAGAAGTCGAAAGCGATAGCGATGGCTCAAGCAGTCAACCAAGCCATCTTCAAGACGTCACACCTCGAGAAGAGGGATGCGTGTAAAACGAAACATTTTCTGACTGTTTGGAAAGAAGGATTACTGAATACGACTTAAAAACGCCGTCCGTGATTTGAAATGAAAGCATCTTCGCCACACACGACCTACAGACGGAGTAAAACAAATACAGCGTTGTTTTGAAGTGGATAGTTAACAGTTTATTGTCATCGATTATCGTCAAATCTTCTTATTGTATTTAATCAGTGGATTGTATTTCCCAGAGTACACCGAACAGAATCTTCTCTGTTTAAATATTTGTTTTGGAGGGATGGGTAAGGGTCCTGGCGTGTTGACGGGCCCGTCTGAGTTTTGTAGGTCGAGAGCTAACGTGGGGAAAGGGTGAATTTTTGGTGGGGTCCTCTTTCAACATAAACAAAAAAATATTTTAAAATCTAAATTGAGGGCAGGAACTGATGTTAGAGTTTGCACTGTTGAATAACATTCTTATTTCTTTTTGTTATCTCTTGTACCCAAAGCATAACAACAACAACAACAGCACCAAGAAAACTAACAGTTTCCCTTATGATTTTTTAATTAAGTTTAAAATTAAAAAATGATTAAAACAATAATAAATATAATTCTCCATACCTTCTCCAAATTCTTCATATTTGATCTCCATACCTTTCCTTGAAGAAATAGTTAAGAGGATTTGTAGAAAGATAGAAGCAATTTCACTTAGGTGATCAGTTTATTTAATCTCATAACCTTCTCACTTGATTTGATATGGTTAGGAGAAAACTGGTGTTGGTCAATTTTAATGGGTGTCACAGGCATCTCAGGATTCCCCTCACCCATCCTTTGCTACACTCCTAGGTGGGGGGGGGGGGTACTCTGGATTTCAAGTGACGGAGATGATCAAAGGACTTTTTTGGGTTTCAGATCTTCGATTCTGAGATTGTGTTGGGGGAAGCAAAATTTGTAAAGTATTTTTTTGGGTAGCTTGATTGAAGTCGTGATATTTGGGGATATTAAAAACAATCTGAAGATTTGTGGTGGCAACCGCATATTCCCAGAGGCATAGTTCTACGAATAAAGTACAACCAAACTTGTTTCGCGACTTTTTTCAAGGCTTGGAAATTAGGCATGGGATATTTAGGGGGGTTAATTTTTGGACCAGGGATTTTTTTGGGTTTTGTTGGAAGCCCGAGGGGTTTCTCTGGGTTTTAATTTTTGCCCCATTCGATCATCCCCGTCACTTGAAATCTGGAGTCCCCCGCTGGAGCTACACTGCAGTGTAAAAAATTCAAAAGTGCTATTAGAAGGGCTTTTCACGTTATGAGACAAATAAATCTACTCACTTAGCTGCGGGTCACTATAAGGGCTTAAACAGCTGGTGAAGTTTGGATTAAAATGCAGTTTTCATAGATGTAAAAATATTGTTTGCATTTGTTTACATTTTATTCTCAACAACTTTAAATGGTAAGCTCTCCTTTAGCACCACTAGTAGATCCTAGTATACCGGGGCAGTTAGTGTTTTATATATTTCTTTTTACTTTTATATGAGTTGCATATTATTTTTTCACAATATATTCAGATTATTTTAGAAAAATGTTCTTGTTACAAAATTTTATTGAAGATGTAATATTATTATAGTAATTATCAAAAAAATAACAATAACCTTAATAAATTTATTTGCTTTATTTATACCCAAACAAACTTGACTCTCCTCATTGTTTTTGCACTGATATGACAAACACAAGTCACACACATCACACCTTGCAAATTTTGAAATTAGCTGACAATTAAATAGTCAACCAGTCACTGCACATTAATGTGTCAATGAAATGGTATTTTATATAAAGAGCCTGATGATCAGTCAATTATGTCTGCATCAGGGAGATGTCAGTCTTTCAGCAGTGTACAAACATCACACTGTTATCCAACTAGTAGCCTGTTCATGTCCCAGACTCTCTTTATTCTCTTCAGAGACTTTCAAGCACAGGTATAAAAATAATAACTGCAGGAGATTTATGGACCGCAAGGGCAACGGGTGGGGGAGGGAAAAAGAGAAAATTTCTCTTCTTTCTTACGCTTCACGCTCCCTCTTGCTCTCTTGCTTTGGTTTTGCACTGTCATAAACAGGCTATCCGACTGGGTGAAGACAAGCCAACTGGCAAGTCTAGAGAAGGAGCGCTTACACTGGATACCAGAGGTAAGGAATTTTTCTTAAAAGTGGGTGGCATCTTAACACAGAGCTGAGCTTAACAGAAGTTTGACTGTGATATTTGATATCTAATAATTATTATAATTCACACAGTCATGTTTTTATTGGTACAACTCACTTCCTATTCTGAATCATTCATTTCTGTGAGCTATTCTCTTGCTTTCGTTTACAATGTTCTTGCAAACTTGCATTCACGCCTTCTTTCTGGTCTTTTTTATTCTTGTCATCATTTGCTTTCTCGCTCCACAAGACATGGTCAGCTCTACAGAGGTATCTTCTCACTGTCCTACATGCAACACATGTGATAACAACATGTCTTTCCCTTTTACCTGATAAAGAAATGAAATAGAAGAACAGTTGACTAAGTAAGCCTCCATCTTACTGTTACCAACTTAAACTAACATCCTGTTAACAAGCCAGTTTTGTGCTGCCTTTCTTTCAGCAATAATTTCCAAGAAAACAGCAAAATAATACGGCCTGATCAAAGTTTAAGAACTGAAAGCTTTTCCAACCCTCTTTACTTCGATTCAATATTTTTCTTTGAGTCAAAGTTGTGAGACTTTACTCATGAGATGATATACTAATGCTAAAGACTATTAAATTACTGTAAAAAGAGTTAATTTAATTTAGTTGGGGGAAAATCTCACTCATTTTGCTGATACTTACTCCTAACTCTGACCTTTGCGGTAACTCCTGGTACAAGCAAGGCATTGCAGTGTTTGCAAGTTGTTCTTTTAATGCTTGGATCCCTGAATCAATGAAATAAAATTTGTTTGTGAGACCCTTTAAGATACTCTTTTGATTTCTCTTCCTCCAAAACTACGTCATGTCCTTAAAATCTGCTTTAATTAATGTTTATGACCAGGGATCAATTTAATTAAAATTTTTGAAAGTGTAATTAACAAGACAAAAA